CCTAAAGGAGACTGCTGGTTTCCCAGTTGTTTACTTTTTTGGATAGAAAGGACCAGAATGACCATTTCTCACTAAATAATTATTATTTGCTCAAGTTTAAGTGACTCCCCTGGCTTCAGGCTTTCTGCCTTATAATTCAATCACCTTAGTCTTTTTCTTTAAGAAGACTTCTCACCATCAACACAAATGCTGCCTCTTAAGGCTATTTTTCTCTAGCAAACTGATTGCAGGCCATAAAGATCTTCAATAGCAATTAGATTTTATTGTTCTCATCTCATTTATGTACATAGGAGACATCCAAATGTAAAATGCACATATCTTCTGACTTAGCAATTCCCCTTCTATCTAGGAATTTATCCCACAGAAGTGTTCATGTATGGGAGCAAGGACACATGTACACCAATACTAATTTGCAGCATGATTTAAAGTAGCAAAATAATGGGCAAAACCTACACACCAGACTGGTTAAATAAAAAATGATGCAGCCATATAGCACACGGCAGGACAAGCATATGGATGACATTCCTGTACATTGATATGGAATGATCAGTACAAAAAGCAAGATGGGAACAGCATCTCAAGTATGTTACCATATGTATTTTTTAAAAAGGAAATATATATCTATACATATGTTTGGGTAGGTGGGTATACACACAAACACACACACACACACACTCACAATCTCTGAATGAATAACAAAAGAAATAAATCACACTTTGGGAGGCAGAGGACAGAGGATCACTTGAGGCCAGGAGTTCAAGACCAGCCTGAGCAACATAGAGAGACCCTGTCTCTACAAAAAATTAAAAACTTAGTTGGGTGTGGTGGCATATGTCTGTAGTCCTAGCTACTCAGGAGGCTGAGGCAGGAGGATCACTTGAGCCCAGGAGCTCAGGCTGTAGTGGGCTATGATGGTGCTTTTGAATAGTCACCGCACTCTAGCCTGGGCAACATAGAGAGACCCAATCAAAAGAAGGAAGGAAGGGAGGGAAGAAGAAAGGGAGGGACAGATGGATAGATCAAGGTAGTTGCCTCTGGGGAAGGGAACTAACACGAGAAGCAATTCTGTACCTTTTCTGCAGGGCTTAACTTTTCACCCTGTGAATAATTTTTTTAAAATACATGCACACGCGCACACACACATACACACACACAGAGTAAAGAACAGTTATCAAAGAATTAACCTTGCCAAGGCTATCTAACAGTGACACCTACTGGTAACATCACTTCCTAGCCCATGGTATATCTTAAAAGAAAACTCATAGTTTTCCTGGGACAGCCATTTCAGCTATTAGTCAGGAAACATGTTTATATTAAAGGCTCATAAGGAACTCTTCATTGGCATTAGGCCCTCGGAGCATAAGACTTAAAAGTACCATCTGGCTGGTAAGTTATGGTTCATTATGGTTTGAATCGCAAGCTATAAAAAAGAGTGAAGAATATTTCTACATCCTTCCATGCGGTGATCTCCAGCATATAGCATTAAGTGAAAAAAGCAAGGCAGGAAAAAAATGTGAAGAGTATACTACCATTCATCTAAGAAGAGGAAGGGGTTACAAATGGACCTACAGTTTTACTTATATTTAAAAAATGGAAAGATAACCCAAGGGAGGAAAAAAAAAAAAAAGAATGAATGGTTGCCATAAGAAAAGGGAGGGAATAGAACTAGATTTCTCTAAATCAGTGATTCTCAACCCCGGTGATTCTGCCCCTGCCCCCAGGGGACATTTGGCAATATCTGGAGGTAGTTTTAGTGTCATAATTGGGGGAGATGCTACTGGCATCTAATGGGTAGAGGCCAGAGATGCTACCTAACATCCTACAATGCACAGGACAGCCTGCACACACAAGTATCATCTGGCCAAAAATGTCAATAGTGCAAATCATATATCTGATAAGGAGCTTGTATCTAGAATATATGAAGAACTCTTACAATGCAATAATAAAAATACAAATAGCCCACTTTACAAATGGGCAAAGGATGTGAATAGACATTTCACCAAAGAAGATGTACAAGTGGTCTATAAGCACATGACAAGATGCTCAACATCCTTACTCATCAGGGAAACACAAATCAAAACCACAATAAGATACCACTACATACCCACTAGGATGGCTATAATCAAAGACAGACAATAACAAATGTTCACAAGGAACTGGGAGCCGCCTACATTGTTGGTGGGAAAGTAAAATGTTGCAGCCACTTTGGAAAACAGTCTGGCAGTTCCTCAAAGGGTTAAACATAGAATTACTATATGACCCAGCAATTCCACTCCTAGGTGAAAGGAAAACACACATCCACACAAAAACTTGCACATGAATGTTCATAGCAGCATTATTCATAATAGCCAGAAAGTGGAAACAACCCAAATGTCCATCAATGGGTGAATGGATAAATAAAATGCGGTATATCCATACAATGGAATATTAATCAGCAATAAAAAGAAACAAAGTACCAATGCATGCTACAACATAGACAGACCTTGAAAACAATATGCTAAGTAAAAGAAACCAGTCACAAAAAGCTACATATTATATGATTCCATTTATGTGAAATGACTAAATTAGGCAAATCTATAAAGGCAGAAAGTAGATTAATGGTCACCTAGGGCTAGGGGGATAGGAAACTTGGGGGTTTCAGCTAAGGGGTGTGGGGTTTCTTTTTGGAATAATGAAAATGGTCAGAAATTGATTGTGGCGATGGTCGCACAGATCCGTGAATATGCTAAAAGCCATTGGATTATACACTGTAAATGGCTATATTTTGCGGTATGTGAATTATATCTCAATAAAGCTGTTTAAAAAACCAGTCACAACTGTGAGGTGCATGCTCTATTAGAGGTGGGTGCCTGGCAGGAGGGACACTGTGGGCATGCACAGGCAGCTGGTGACCAGGCAGATCAAAGGCCAATCACAACAGCACAGAGTGTGCCCGTTAGTGGTGAGCATGGTAGCATGGGCACAGAAGCCAGAGGCAGGGAAAGAAAAGAAATCAGGAAAGGCTTCCAGGATGAATAGGGAGTTGCTGGTAACCAAGTCGTTGGGTTTTTTTTTTTTTTCTTATTAAATTCTTCACTGGTTTTATTGCAATTCCAGGGGGAGGGAGATTTTAGGCAGGGGGACACCTCAGGCTACATCTGAAAAAACTAGTTCGGATTGTCCAAACATAAAACCCAGAGCATGGGAGGAATCAGGATGGCATGAGATGAATTAGCAAAGCAGGTGGCAGGGTACAATGGCCTTCGGGACCCAGCCAAGAATCCCCAACTGAATATTTTAAGGGAAAAGGGATTGGTGGGAGATGCGGGCTGGCAGCACAGTGATTGACGCTTTGTTCTGGAAAGACAGATGACCACCAATGTGGAAAATAAGCAGACCGGGGATGAGTCTAGAGACAGGACAGGTCATGTATTTATACTACATGTTATAAGTTGTTGTCACAGCCAATTTAATCCTTTCCTAAACATTAAGCTTGAAAACCAGCAAAGAGAAATCGGTCCAGGATTGTGTCTGTCTTCAAGGGACAAGTGACAAGATGGACTACTGAGAACAAAGCGGTTTGGTGTAAAAGTAATAATGATAATAATAAATTCATATATAATTTAAAATGTTCTAATGTTGTAAAGAAAAAAATAATAATAATAGCCCCCTATGCGTTTAGGCAAGGACCAGGAACCAAACGACAATGACTGGACCTAGAAAGATAAACAAGCCACTTACCACAGGAACTGGGGTATTTGGCTCAAATTCTGTGGAATGAGCATCTGAAGATTTAAAAAAGAGGTCAATAATTCACCAATATTGCTGAAAAATATTTGAAGTGATAAAAAAAAATTTTCTTAATAAATGGTTATTAGCAAACCTCGAACTTACCTTTCAAGTTAAGCCGATTTCTTGCAAACTCTATCACTGCTAGTTGCATCCCAAGGCAAACTCCTATTTTTAAAAGCACACATACAAAGCAAATGAACAAATTGTGTATTTAATCAGATTTTCTGTTCATTTGTTCGCTGCCTGTCCACTCTGCCTAGAATGCAGACTCTGAGAGAGCAAGATTCTGCCTGGTTTGCTCCTTCCTGCCCCTCAGAAGGCCCCTGGCAGACAGCAGGGCAGGGACTCAGACTACCAAGAAGCCACCTAAGCCCCGGAGTTGACGAAGAAGGAACGTGAGGTCAGAAAAGGCAGAAAAGCAGAAGGCAAGGGTCCAAAGGGCAAATCTGTCACCTTCTACATTTGTCCCTAACTCTAGGTGTCTGTCTGGGCTGCAGGGCTGTCGCAGAGCCCTGGTTCCTTCAGAGGCCATCTAACAACACCCCAAGTCAAGAAGGAGTCTCAGTGTCCCTCTTCTCAAGGTGATTCCACAGCCATAAATATGGGCTTGGCCAGAGGGCAAGGACCTAAAGGACATCAGTCAGGCTGCTGGGGGTGAGGGGTTAAGCCCTCCAGGGTGGGCTTGAGCATGGTGGGCAGCAGGGAAGGAGACACAGAAGGGAACCGAGGGAGAAAGGGAGAGGACCGAATGGCCCAGGCCACTGCCAGGGGCTGCTCCGAGGCCCAGCTCCACATCCCCAGCAATCCCCTCCACTAAACAAATGCCAACGAGCATCGCAGGTGCTTTCACGGACACACATAAGGTACACAGGGGACACAAAGGAGGGTGCAATCAATATATCGGGGACACCAGAATGAAAGTCAATAAGCAGGAAACAGCTTAGTGCTTGGGGGGACTTCAGGAAGTTCCATATGGCTGGGACATAATGAGATACTGTGTTACAGAGAAAGCTAAAGACTTGCAAACCATTCTATACCGTGAAAATTCTCTTAGGAACACCAGCCACCTTTAGGCAGAAACCAAGCTTAGACAGAAACTTCAAAAGAAAACACATGGCCCGTAAGAGCTTAGACAGGTAAAAAACAAAGTGTCAAAGTAACTACTCCTGGCTTCTCTTTTGAAAACGGATCCCAAGAGGAGAGAGTCTAGAAAGCTAATCAAAGAGCAGGTCATGGGGTAAATAAACAGCCTGCTGACAGTAAAATCCCCCCCAGTCGGCTCACAAACCCACCGATCCACCCGTCCACAGCCCAGCGGGAAAGGCAGCCTCTCCACACCCCTCCAGCCCAAATCCCCAGCTTGCAGGGCCGCCTCTGCCACATCAAGGTCCCATTTCATCTGGCTTCACTGGTACAACGGCCATGCTTTGCAATTTGAACAAAAGCATTAGAAAGGCCCAACTCTGCCAAACCTTAACGGAGCTATTCCTGTGACCCTGGATGGTCTTTCTGCATTCTTTCTTCCAGAATGAGCAGATGAGGTGCAACTTTAACAGTTTTTCTTATCGGAAAGACTATTGTGGAATTCCGTTGAATGGTTCTCTGCTTGAAGTGGTGAGGGCACGGGTTGGGGTGGGAACCCGAGAAGGCAAGAGCAACTGCAGTAGAGACTTTCCTCGGCACCCTGCCACCCAACCAGAACAGTAGCAAACGTTTCCCGTAAAGGGTCAGATAGTAAAGATTCTAGGCTTTGCAGGCCATAGGGTCTCAAACGCTACCATTGCCCCACAAAAGCAGCCACAGACAATATGCAAATGAATTGGTGTGGCTGTGTTCCAATAAAGCTTTATTTATAAAAGCAGACTGCCAGCTTGATCTGGCCCTTGGAATACAGTTTGCTGACCCTGTAACAGACTATTTGGGGCCTGAATTTTCATGTCTGAGTTCACACTTTCACAATAACAAACCTTCAGTGTTACCCCTAGTAGGTTTCAAAATCTATTAATAATAGGATCAATAAACATGAGTTTTACCCAGAAAAGGAATCTTCTTTGCCCTTGCCCAAGAAATCGCCTGGAGTTTTCCCAATGTTCCTCTGATTCCAAAGCCTCCGGGCACAAGAATACCACTGAAATCAACACAAGATGAGGGTAAATTTGACTACCCATTATTTTTATTTTTAAAACTTGTGTTTTCAGCCTTTCACGCAATGCTTGGTGCAATCACTAGTGAATATGTTTGAGGTCTACTTTTAGAATCGATTACATGATATCACATCCTGAACTTTCTTCCTGAAATCCTCCCAATGTTATGAACAAGTTGAGACAATTTCTCACAGCTGACTTTGATATGTATTTTCTGATAAGTCTTTGTGGTACCACAGCATAGTAACTGGGAAATTCAATTCAATTAAGAATGCCACTGAGAGAAAAATCTGAATAAAAATAGGTGAAGGTTCTTTCAAAGCACTACTATAAAAATGTTAAGATCTCTCACATCATCGGAAAGAATCAAATGGATAAAATCAGCCTAAGATTTCAATTGTTAATTAAGCAGTGGCAAATGAAATTTCCTGGCTAGAAGACAATTTAGAAACCTTCTAGGCAAACACTCTCAGATGAAACCAGGAGGATCATGCTACATTCACAACACAATGCTGCCCCCAAGAGCTCTGTCGATTACTTACAAAATAAAACCTAGAACCAAAACATGTGAAAGAGAAAATATACTCAAGAAAGGTTATCATTCTTGTACTTTAACTTTGCATATGTAAGATCTCTGTATCTTTCAGGAGAATCAACACACTTTCCCTCCAATTCAATACTCCCATCCTCCCCAAATAAAGCCATTTCCACTGCACATGCCACCAACATTAACATGGCACATTTCAAAGCAATGCAGCAGGAATGCAACACAACCACCTGCAAAGACTGCAAGTACTCTAAACTACCTTTCAAAATGCATGAAAATTAGTAAATGGGATAAATTCAATCATTATGGAAAAAGCACAATGGCATTGTCCTAACTGGTGTGGATGGTCCCTGGTACTCACTCAGCTTTGCATAGCTTCTGCCAAGCTACGTGGAATCTCACAGGGTCCTCGGTTTCAGTGATCTGCTCCAGATCAATGGAGTCTATGTACTGAAAAACATCCAACAGATAAAAAAAATTAAAAAAAAAACACTGAAAAGTACTAGCACCATGTAACTATGACCCAAGTACTCATTAATTACTTATTATGCAAACACTGTACTAGGTACTGGGGATAAAAAACACGATCTCTGTCTCGTGGCTATTATGAAACCAATGAGCAGGCGTCCACACTGTAGTGTGACAATGGCTGTGACGGCAAAGATGGGGATGCTGTGGAAGTAACTAGGAGCCACATCTCATCGAGAACTGGACACTGCAGGAAAGAAGGGAAGGAGTGAGGTCAGGGACAAGCTCTGGGGAGGTGACATCCAAGAAGCTGGGCCCCGAGGATGAGTAGAGGCAGGATGAGCTCAGGGGTGTGTGTTGGAAGGCCCCAGGGAACGTGCGTGGGAGATGAGGAGAGAAGGGGAGAAGGGCCTGAAATCTCAGGCAAAGGCACCACTCCTATGAAACCTCAGAGGAAAGAGAGAAAGTAGTGGCCACTCTGGAAAGACCTGATTGGTTGGGGGGAAAAGGTGTGAGGCTGAGAAGCCATGACACAGAGTTTACAATTGAAGCCCCTTGCAGCGGACTGAATGTTTGTGTCTCCCCAAAATTCGTATGTTGAAATCCCAACTCCCGAGGGGATGATATTAGGAAGTGGGGCCTTTGGGCGGTGATTAGGTCAAAAGGGCAGAATCCCCGTGAATACAGTCAGTGTCCTTATAAAAGAGACTTCAGAGACCTCCCTCGCAGCTGCTTCTGCCACACAAGGATAGAACCAGAAGCTGGCCATCTGCAACCCAGAAGAAGGCCCTCACCGGAACACAGCCGTGCTGGCACCCTGACCTTGGACTTCCAGGCTCCAGAACTGTGAGAGAGAAATGTCTGCTGTTTGTAAGGCACCCGGCCTGTGGTACTTTGTTATAGCAGCCAGAACGGACTGCGACACCACTGAAAGGTCTTACGTAAAGGGCTGACAGGAACAGAGAGAACTGAGTGGTTTTAGAAAGATCACTCTGGTACAATTTGGAAAATAGAGGGAAGACCGGCAGCTGGAAAGCAGCCAGGAAGCTGCTGCAGCCATCCAGGCAAGATAAACAAAGACACCCTGTCCTTAACAGGAATATGACAAGGTCATGATTCAAACAGTCCTCAGTAGAAGCTAATGTCGCTGAATTCTATGAGATGAAGCATCATGTACACCGATTCCTATGTACCTAACAATCCCTGTGCAGCTAGATTATTTTAGTATTTCTTTTATGAAAATGACTATCTGAATATATCTTCAGATACAAAATTTTAGAGCCTTTATAAAATTTGCATTATGGCCATTTTTCTAATGTCATTTTCTTTTTTCTGTATGAGGGTTGGGGACGTGGAGGAGTGGGAGGAACGGGAAGTGACCTATTCCTTAGAAAGCCAAAAATAAAAACTGATTGGGAGAGAAAGAGGCTAAAAAGGGGAGAGAAAACAGTCAGCTAGGTCCTAAGCTAATATCGAAATGGAAGTCACAAAATTTCTTTAACGTATAAACGGATCTTTTTATTCATCATAGAAAGGTTTTGCCATTTAAATCAAGAGGATAAGGCTTGCTTAAACCACGATGTACGCATATCAAATATCATTAAATATAAATTTGGATATGCAAAGCCTAATTTCAGAAATGTGCCTTAAACCTGCCTGCAGAAAACAGTTAACACAGCACACGTCACTGCTGTCCTTGGAAATGCCTGCTACAAGATTGGTCCTTGGTCGGCATCTGGAAACTTGGATATGGGGAGGGTCCCCACCACTCCAAGAACTGATAAGAGTGGCTCATTGTGCCTGAAGTGTTTGTACAAACAACACCATTTATGCTGAGCTTCCTGCTGGGAGTCTGGAATTCTGGTACACAGTAGGCAGAGGATGCCTGTGTGACCAACGTCCAATAAAAGCCCTGGGTACTGAGTCTCTAATAAGCTTCCCTGGTAGATGGCACGTCACATATATTATTACAACTCACTGGGGGATTAAGTTCAATTTATGAGACTCCACTAGGCAAGGGCTCTTGAAAGCTTGCACCTGGTCTTCCCCAGACTTCGCCCTGTGCAACTTTTCTCTTTAATGATTTTGCTTTGTATTCTTTGACTATAATAAACCTTAGCCCTAAGTATGACCATATGTGAGTCCTGTGAGTCATTCTGGTAAATCACAGAACCTAGGAGTGGTCGTAGGGACCCTTCAACACAACCTGCCTCTCTGGAACACAAGATATTGGAGTAAATGACTGAAGCAGCCAGAAGACTAGGCCAGGACTCACCATCAGCTTCAACTTGTGGTTGATGGCCAAGGCTGAGTGCTCCAGGGCTTTGAACACGGAAGCGTAGCAGTCCCTGAGCTTGGTGTATTTGCCAACCAGGGCTATGGAGCATGTTTTCTGTAACCTTTCATATCTGGGAAGGAAGACAAGCTCAAAGTTAGATGCATGTAACAGAACATCACCAAAATAACAGTGGCAGCCACCGCTCTTATTCCAAGGCACTTTTAAAACCTTTGGAGCAGACAAGCCTTACAGTTGATGTACTTGACTCAACCTCCCCCCCTCAAAGAACCAAAATCTGTTCTCCAAACAGACTTCGAAATCATAAGAAATTCCAGTGTTGGCTTACATAAGCGGATATAAATCTGAGTAAATCAGAGAAAAAGTTAAAAGCATTAACAATAAAAAATTCAAAAGCCATCTCCATTTCATAAACATGAGCTGTTCTTAAATTATTATAATAGTTTATCAGGTGACATTGTATAAGAAAAATGCATTCTGCCTGTCAATAGGAAACATTCCACTATTAACTCTGTAAGGTGACATTGTATAAGAAAATGCATTCAAAGTGTCTGCATTTAAAATTGTTACATTCCCAGCTGGCCCACAAAAGTCTGGTTATTCATGGCAAGCCTGAAGAATGGTGCTAAGAGAACGATTTAAAATATTACAAGCCATTTAGATCATTTTTATGAGAAAAATTCCATTCTACAGAAGACACTCAATCACATTTTACCATTAGAGTACAATCTTTAGTGTTGCTTTTGTCAGGAAATCTGTCCAAAGAATATGAAAAATATCTGGTCTGGTATTAAGTATGTGGAAATGTCATCTTGGGGCTAAAGATGTTTTAGGGCCTTGAAGCAAACCCTTCCCCAAACACCTTAGAAAAATGTTACTGTGATGAAGGATATCCCTGTTTCATATCATCATCTGCAAAGAGTGCAAGAGAAATGGGATCTCAAAACAGGCTACATGCAGAAAAATGCGCAAGCAGCTAAGTCAAAACTGACAGGAAAGGTGACTTTCTGCGAAGGTGACTAAAGAACCCGAGAGGAGGCTGGTAACCCTTACTTCATTTTATGTTGCTGTGGAGATTCTGCAGCTGCCTGTGCCTCTTGCCACCTCCCATTAAGGATGCAGGTAACAGAAAGCAAGTTGATAGCAAGCCAAGTATCAGAGATGACGCCAGAGGCAGGCAGTCACGGTCACATTTGAGCAGGGTCAAGGAGGACGCAGCTGGATGGAGTCGATACTATCGCTCACTCAAGTGTGGTCTTCCCAGGAGAGGAGTCGTTGCTGGGTAGTGGGTAGGACAGGTGAGTGCACTGGGTCCCGCCTCCCGGAGAGGGGGCCCGCTTGCAGGAAGGTGCCCTGGGCCCACCCTCGTACTCTCCTTCCCTCTCGGACCTGCATGTGTCTCCCTCATGTGTCCCCATCGGCCAGCGGCCCTCAGCGGGGTGTGTGAGGTAAGCCTCAGACACCACTGTGAGCTGCTGGGGGAGGAGGGGAGTCAGCTTTGCAGGCCCATCCCCCACAGGCAGAGGTGAACGGGAGGAGGTAGAGGGCTGTCCCTACCTTGGACTGGGATCCCAGGCGAGCTCCCCGACCCTAGGTTCACCAGAGCCCCTGGCCTCTGAGCAGCATTGGGCCTCCATGATGAAGGCTGCTCCTTTGACCTCTGTTTGCCTCCTTGCATCTCTCTACAGGCTGTACCAAAGGGACAGCAGCTAAAGAATGGACACTGCACACTGCCATTACTAATTAACAGCCATTACTGCCAACGTGATGCAGAGGGACCAACGCACAATACCTCCTATGCTTGAGGATGGTAGTGAGTTGAATGACAGTCCCCCTAAAAATATTTGTCCCCCACAACCTGTGAATATGACCTTGTTTGGAAAAAGGGTCTTTGCAGATGCAATTAAGCCTCTCCAGATGAGATGACCCTGGATTAGGGCAAGCCCTAAATCCAAAGACAAGCATCCTTATAAAAGAAGAGAAGAGGAGAAGACAGGAGGGAGAAGGTGACGCGAAGATGGAGGCAGAGAGTGGAGTGACGCAGCCACAAGCCGAGCAATGCCAAGTGTTGCCAGCAGCCACCAGAAGCTGGGAGAGAGGCGTGGGACAAATTGTTCAGAGGCAATTCCTGTGGATGCCTTGATTTTGGGCTTCCGACCTCCAGGACTGTTAGAAAACACATTTCTGTTGTTTTAAGCCACCCAGTTTGTGGTCATCTCCCACGACCGCCACAGGAAACAAATACAAAGCCCACACATTTGGCTTTAGAAAGCATAGAAGCATACAGTATAATTTACAGCTATTTCCAGTAAAAAGAGTTAAAATATTAAAATTACTAGTGCTTAAAGAGGATCAGCCCCAAACTACTCAGAAAGTTCCTACAAAATGAGTGATTCCATATTCCATAAGCATCATGGAGGGCAGGGGATTGATTGTACCATCACTCATTAGAGAACCTAACTTTAGAAGCTGCCCTTTATTCCCAATTTTATTTGTACCAGAAAGGCTAAAGCATTTTTTAAAACCTTTAAGTGAAGCCGGGTGGGGTGGCTCACGCCTGTAATCCTAGCACTCTGGGAGGCCGAGGCGGGAGAATCACTCGAGGTCAGGAGTTCGAGACCAGCCTGAGCAAGAGCCAGACCCCGTCTCTACTAAAAATAGAAAGAAATTATCTGGACAACTAAAAAACTATATAGAAAAAATCAGCCAGGCATGGTGGCGCATGCCTGTAGTCCCAGCTACTCGGGAGGCTGAGATAGGAGGATCACTCGAGCCCAAGGAGTTTGAGGTTGCTGTGAGTTAGGCTGAGCAGACTCTGCCTCAAAAAAAAAAAAAAAAAAAAAACTTTAAGTGAAAGAGCAAGATAACTTCAATCTGATTAGTCATCTACCAAGGTCAGTGGTTTTGTCACCATTAAATCATTTTAATTATTGTGACCAACATCAGCAACCAATGCTTAGTGCCTAACTCCATGTTAAGTCCTTACATATTTTCTCTCATAACTGCTGCTAGGTGGGCACTGGTATCCCCCATTCTGTATGGACAGGAGAACAAGCCCAGAGAGGCTAAGTAATCCATCCAAATTCACACAGCTAGTAAGAGCGAGAGCCGGGATCTGAATCCAGAGCCTACCTATGTCACTGCTGCACCCACTGATTCTGTCCTAAGCTGCACAAGAAGTCAGGCAGCCTGTGACTGTGCAGTCACACTTTAACTATGCTTAGTAAAAGAAAACAAGTGATGGGGGTTTAATGTCCATATGACTTCAAATTAGACAAAACTTGCTTACATTCATATGGCTAACTTAAAGCCAAAACCTATCAGGAGTTTTAATAAAGACGCTGAATAGTTAATAACTGCAGGATGGAACAATGGCATGACCAAAACTTCCCATTCAAAAAGGTTTTCTTCAGGAAATGTTAGCCAAATCTTAAAACAAAACAAAACAAAAAGCCTACAATATTTAAAACTGTCCAAAATATTCAGAAACCAAGAAATAAACTAATGAATCAAAATCCTTCCAGCTTTTAAAAAATTCCTTCCAGAATCCGAATTCCTTCAATTCATTTTGGCTTAAGTACAACAAAATCAAAGGCTCTAGAAATCTTCAAAGAATACAGTAAAACATCATAACAGTGTGCCGCATTGTTAGACACATCCAGACCAAAACATACACATAAGAATGCCAAAGATGACGTGCTTACTCTTTAAAGTAGGTCTTAGTCCTACCCTCAAACCCAAGAATTCTTAAAAATTACATAAGTAACTCCTTTCACATACCTGTCAGCCATATTTCTCCACTTGAAAAGCAAATTACTTGCAGAATCACCAATGGGCAGGTCCAATCTCTCTTTAAAATATTTAACAATGCCTTGTTCCTCCAAAAGCACAGGCACTCGGTATGTGGAAGAAACATCATGGATACATATGACCTATTCAATGATGATAAAACACCATACTTAGACGGATCGACTCAAACACGTCAAATATGCCACAAGAATGAGACGAAACTCAAGAGAAACTGGCAGTTTATTTACACTGATTTAAAAAAAACAAACAAAAAAAGAAAACCCAGCAACCTAAACAAGAGTCAGAATTAACACATGGTTAGTTTGACTTAATTACAAAACTCTTTGAATTCATTATCCTACTCCTGGAAGCATGGATGCCATGGTATAATAAAAAAAAAAAATACGAATATACATATAATCTGGTCTTTGTCCCCAGTTCCTGACACAGAGCTTCAAAAATCCTCAGCGTTTCCTGAGTGCTAGCAGTGTCTTTGTTATGCAAATGGAGACTCCAGGTGGCCCCTAGATAGCTTCAGGATGGGGCTGGTCACCAAAAAAACCAGCCCGGTGATTAGAGGGCTGGAATGCCAAGCCACCGACCTGACTTCTAGGGAGGGAAGTGGGGCGGGGGGCGGCGGGGGGGCTGGAGACTGAGTTCAGCCAAATGGCCAATGATTCAATCAATCGTGCCTACATAATAAAACTCCAATAAAAACTGGAGACCAAGGCTCAGGGGAGCTTCTCAATTGCTGAATACATTAAGGTACCAGGAGAGTGGCGCACCCTGACTCAAAAAAAGCTCCTGTGCTCGGGACCCTCCTATACCTTGCCCTCTGTATCTCTTCATCTGGCTGTTCGTTTGCACCCTTTGTAATAAAACAGTCATTGTAAATATAGCACTTTTCTGAGTTCTGTGCGTCACTCCAGTGGACTGTCAAACCCAAGGGGATTGTGGGAAGCCCCAAATTTGTAGTCAGCCGGCAGGAGCATGGGTAGCTTAGGGACACTGGAAACTTGTGGCAGGTGTCTGAAGAGGGGGGCAGTCTTGTAAGGGATTGAGCCCTTAAACCTGTGGAGTCTGAGGCTCACTCTGAGTAGTTACTGTCAGAATTGAATGGCAAGACCCCCGCTGGTGTCAGAGAATTGGTGTTGGACCACAGAGATGCTTTATATGTCAATATCTAATACACAAGGCCCAAGGCACCATCTTCTAAGTCTGAGTCAAAGCAGTAGCATTGCATACATACACTTTGTCTTCTCAATGTGTATATTCAGTTTGTTTGTTCATTCATTTGTTGTTGCAGAAAGGGGCAACCTTGCAAACATAACAGGAAAACACCTAATCCCACCATTTCCACAGTAACGGTTAAAGATCAATCCTGTGAGTTCTCTCACTAACAGGCACCCTGCAGGAGTTCTGTTTTGCACAACTTCTGAAAAGAGCTGAATAGATGGAAAAGAGATGTAAATCTCTCTCTTTAAAATTGTTTTTTGAGAATCTGCGTTTTACAGCCTAAAGAGTTCCTGAGTAAACAGCAGGAGAACAAGCTGCAGCCTCAACCATATGTGGAGGGCAGAGTCACATCTCCTGCAAAGGCTGGGAAACCAACTCTGGGACTTTGACGTCCTGCAGCAGCTTTTGTTATCGACTGACAGCCATCCTATTTTTTTTCCTCTTCCTCCCCCTTAAAATCAGCAAGCCACTTGGGCTCAGTGCTGGCACCCCCTTCTCTTTCTTTGGGATGCCAGCTATCATCTCCCCCTGCTCTCTTTCCCTCCCCGCTCTCACTCTCGCACTCTTTGTCTCCTCTAAGAATATAAAATAAATTTTACTTCTATATATCCTAATCTCTGCATGAGAAATCTTTCTCTCCCCGCAGTGTGAGCACCTACTAGGCTTTCCACCCTAACAGCTGCTACTGTAGTTGCTTTTGTCTGCAACCTTGTTCCCTGCTCCCTTCATTTGGGTAAATTTACAAGCACAGCTCGACCACAGTAAAATTAATTACACCTGCTGGAGGAGAAGCGCACTTTTAAATACCAGGAGGTGCCTGGCTGGGGTCGTTTTTCACACCTTCTCAAGTATTAATACATCCAAGGGGCTGCTTGCAGCCATTTAAGGATCTACCATATCCTAAGGAAATGCCAAAAAATGTTCTGCAAACTCTGTGTTCAGTATCCCCAACACCTAGCTATAAAATCAAGGGTTCCTGAGCTGTTTGAATATTGCCAACTTGATACTCAGACTACAGTGCCTCACTCATGCGTTCACCGATGCAATTCAAAGTGCTGAGATGTCACTGATGGGGGGGGTGCTCCATCCCAATTATTCATTAAAACTAAATCTCCAGAGAGCCACAATTCCCACAAGTGGAAATAATGGAATGCAGAGCTATTTACTCATTTATCCTCCAAGCCAGAGAGAGATTTTTTCAAATATCCTGACAATAGGCCACATCCAAAGAGAAGCCTCTAGCCTTCTCCATCCCCTCCTCAGTAATCCAGATGAGAAGAGCTTTAAATGCAAATTCACCAGGACTCATGAAAAGGCTGGAACTCAGAAGTGGGAGAATTAACTCATATCAGAAAAAATGATGTGATGAAAAATGTCTAATAAACTAACGTGTGGACTGATGGGACCGTGCATTCTTCAGAATCTATAGTTACATAGACTCTATATGGTCTAAAGTTTAGACTGTATCTTCTGTTCCCAGAGCTCTCAGCAATCCAACTCAAAAAGATTTATTCTCCTTCTATTTCAGAAACATTGAGCAAGTCATGTTTGCTAAATACACACAGAAAGTACTATTTACCAATAGGAAGGGTACCAGAAACAACTGAACAAAAACAGAATGGCATGACAAAATACAAATACAGAAGAGTCCCTTAAATCTGTCATCACATTTTTCATAATTTCAGACTTTTGCACTGACTCTGAAGCACCAGGCAGGGGGCCCTTCATCAGACTGCCTCCTGAGATCCAGAAATCCAATTTGATGGTTTTTGGACTTCAGAGAACCCAGAGCTAATTTGAAGAAAAGGTTTCTGCCAAACCTCATCCTTTTCCTGAGTGCCGTTTCTATTACTCTTTTTAAACTATAGCCAACTCTGATCCCTTGTACCCAAGGCTTATTGGAAACAAGAGACAGAGATAAGAGAAGGAAAGAAAAAAGAAAAGCTAGCTGTCAGAACACCCAGGGGGAAAGTCCTGCAGAACAGAGGACCTGAGCCCGAATCATGGTACAGTTTCTATAACAATGAAGTGAACTGAGGCCGCTGTTGCAATCAGAAGAGCTAGTGTGAATGTCAACGTACTCGTGTGGTTTGGGGTGAGTTAAGCTGCCACAGGTACAAAGGAGAAATGAGTGAAAGCAGTAAGTGTCCCCGAAAGAAAGACAGGATTGAGATCTTAGGGAAGCTTCACATGGTTTTCCCTCTAGAGGTTTGACAGTGAGTTAAAAAGCCCACCCTGGTTTTGTGCCTGTAACTTAAGAAGCAATCATGCAAAGAAACTTGCATCCTATCTAAGGAATCAGGAGTGTCAAGATTTTTCACTTAAGGGCTAGGGAGCCATGGTTGGATAGGAGTTCAACAATGCTTGCATAAATGTTTCCAAAATTAATACGATAATTGAAGAGATGCATCAGCAGAAGTGCCTGCCAGCCAACAAAATCTAAAGAGCAGCACCAACCTGTTCAGGGTTCACGTGACAAAACATAGAAATCTTCTCCTTCACTGCCATCTCGATGGGTGTTGAACTTCGGCAGACAATCTGTCAAAGCCAGTTATGAACAGGTCAGCAAGCAGGAACCCGGCTGTTCAAGGTGCCATTCATTTTCAGCAGGACACTATATTCATTTCTTTTTACTACAAGAGACTTTACCAAGCATGCACATGTTCACTGTGGGCACTCCACTGTACTATTAGAAATTGGTCTGAGCGCTAATATAAGTGAGTATGATCAAATTCAGCACAAATCTACCAGTAAGAGCTCGAAACATCAAAAAGTCTCTGGGGAACAAGGCTCACAAGTGTCGCTTCATTAGCTATAAGAAGAGAACTAGATCAGGGGTTGACAGATTTTTTCTCTAAAGGGCCAGATGGGAAAATTGTAGGTTCCCAGGTCATATGGTCGCTGTCTTGATCCTCTGACTGTGTGCAGTATTGCGGGGAGTTAGCTATGCTCCCAGCAAAAAATCGGGTCCCTTAGGCCGAGGTCATTGCAAAGGATAAGAAAATAATAGAAAATGAAAAATAATAGAAATAAAAGAATACACAGAGACGAGGTATAGTTTTATAGATTTATAAAGATAAAAGATAAAAGCGAGATACTCAGGGGACCTGTGATATCTCCGTCAATCACAAAGGCCAAGAGTGAAGTTTTACATGGGCATTTATAGGTACAGTGATCAGTTGCCAGGGGTAACAGATTTACATAACAACAGGTAGTTAGTCTTAGGTTAAAAGTTTTTCAAAAGGCTTCTTCAGATCCCTTAACTAACTCTATCTACGTGAACAAATGGTTACAAAATCTTTCAAAGACTAAGTTCTAAGGTAAATTTATCACTTAAGAGAAGGGTTAAACAGAGATATAGTGGCTCCATATTTTCTTTATCAAGTTATTGTGTATTGAGACAGGTAGTCAGGAGTTTAAGCAGGAACTGTCCCTTGAGCCAATTGCTTTTAGCCACAGGTGTCTGTCTATCTTTGATCAGCATTCACCCTGTGGCTCCTAGCAGACCTGCTTTGCCTTTCAAAGCAAGTCAGAACTACAGGTGCTGAGGATCCCAGCACCAACCTGGGAAACAGCCCCGCTATGATCTTTGAGATGCCCTCCTGAGGTGAAACAGCTTTTGATATGCAAACTAACACGTTCACATATTCCTTCAGGGCAAAGCTCTGCAAAACTCCTGGCACCGTTTATGTTTCTAATATAGTTATATTAATTTACG